TCTTCTTAACATAGGTACTGGGTGTCAGACATTTTTCTTTACATCCTACTTTGTCCGTATCATTTAAGTTTTGCTATATCGCGTTTATATTTGGGGTAGTAGTGCAGTGGATAGCATGCTAGGCCTGGAGTCAGGAAGATCTGAGTTCAAATTTGGTCTCAGACATTTACTAGCTGTATGACTTTGGGGAAGTCACTTAACCCTGTTTGCCTCAGTTTCATCATCAGTAAAACGAGCTGGAGAAGAAAATGATAAACCACTCCAGTATCTTTGCCAAGAAAACCCCAAATGGGGTCATGAAGAGTCAGACATGACTGAACAACATTTCTCGTATTTTTATTGGTTTTTAAATATTATGTGTTGTATTATAGGTTTCCTCTCTGATTCCAGTATTATCTTAGCAATCTGGTTGCCATTTCTAAAAATTTCCACGAGGTCAGGAAATTCTAAATTATGTTTCTGTTTTCTAATTTTGTTATACTGAGATCTGAGAATATAGAATATAAAATTTCTGCCTTTTTATGTCACGAAGTGTAACTGAGTATATCCCAGTACGTGATCAGTTTCTGTGATTGGTCCACATATATTTGGAAAGAAAATGCCTCTCCTTACATATGTTAATTAACTTTACTATACTTAATGAATCCTTCAAACTGTCCATTTCCCTTTTCAATCCGTTGTCTGCTTGCTTTGTCCTGTTCTGAGAGGACAGTGGCAAGATCTCTGATTACAATTACACTTTTGTCTATTTCTCCACACAGTTCTGTACATTTTTCAATTCTGATTATTGTTATGTTGTCTGAGACATTTGGTACTATTGAGATTCCACAGTTTAGTACATTTTTGCCATTGTTTAATTACCTATAAAATTTACGGAATGCCATGATATCATAGGAGAGCAGCCCCTAACTTATTTCTCATTTAGGCCTTATTTATTTTAATTCAATGCAGCTTTACCACCTCCCAGACCCATTCTTTTGCGAAGGCAAACTTGGTCATTTTTTGCCCCAATTCTTACCTAGCCCTAAACTACTGAATGGGTGTTGCCTCAGACAAACAGACCTAGGAAAGGCCAAGGTCTCCCACTGCATCAGGAGCTATCGCCAGCTTGCCTGACCTATGTCTTGCCATGTGAATCTGTAGGTGAGAGTGAGTCTGGTGACTTTGCACAGCTCCGCCTCACTTAAATCCAATTCACTTGCAAGTCAAGACATCACCCTCCTGATGTCACTGGTCCTCTTCAAGAACAAAGGACTGGGTGGATTGAGGGGTTCCCTTTTTAGGTTTTTCTCATTGCCTTCTCAGCATGTCTTACTGGTGTTTGCTGTTTCCCCATATTTCAGGCAGGAAATTCTTTTTTTTCAGTGATATTAGGCAAATAGAAGGACTCTCCCTTATCGTTAATATCTACCCCGCCATCTTCCTTCCCCATCGTTCTCTGCTGGTGGTTCTCACTTTCTTCTTGCCATGGCGAGTTATAAGGTAGTTCCCAATGGTTCTTGGGCCAATTGATCTCCAAGCCAAAACAATTTGAAGCTGTTCCTGCCACACAGCTCAGATCACAGGAAGGGCAGAGTTATGTCTGTAGCATCATATGGTCACGGAATCAGAACTAGCCAAGACCTTGGAGATCATTATTAATTTTGTAGATGAGGAAGCTAAGGCCCAGAGAGGGGAATTAGCTTGCTCAAGGTCACATTGAGTTAATGAATTCCAATCGCCGAAGTCTTCTTTACAGAGTTTGTAGGACGTACTGAAAACTTGTTCTCGGCCTGTGCATTATGTTGCAGTGGCCTACATACAGGTAGATGGTACTAGGGATGAGAGTCCTTTCTCTACAAAATGAGGCCTGATCTTCTTTTCCTCTGGTCACCCACTTTCTTGTATCTTCAGACTGGTTCCTCCAGAGACCAGATGGAGTTTCGATTTCAGATAGAATACAGCTTCAAGGCTCGAGTATCCGCCTACCTGAGTCTAGGCAATAAATGCTCAGGGTGGGTTTGCTCTACCCACTGGCCTCTCTTCTCATCCCACCCCCTTCCCTCAAACCTAACCCACCCCCTTCCTCCCCTCTGATCTGTGCTGGCTTCCTGTGA